AAGTGGATTGAATCCACCAACCATTTCTAGGGAGAAAGATGGACAATCTCCTCTCAAGTGATTTACAGCCTTTGAAAACTCTCTGGAGGGTAAAATAGGAGTCAGTTCTCATCTGATGGCACATGACAACAGTCTGATTCCAGGGAGCTCTGGTGACATAGCCCTTAAGGAGTTGCACTGCTAACCCAACTTGTAGCTCTAGGGGTGGGGTGGGGTGGGGTGAAGATAGGCAATCTCCTCCCAAGTGATTTACAACTTCTGAAAACTCCCTGGAGGATCAGAGCTATAAGTCAGTCCCAACTGGAGAGCAATGAGAGTTTATGAAAATCTAATTCCAGATGTCAGTGACACAAACAGTTAAGCACTTGGTTGATAAACAAAAGGTAAGAACCCATCGGTGGCTCCTCAAGGAAAAAGCCAGGCAATGTGCCCCCATGAAGATCCACATCCTAGGAAACCCTATGGGAGTAGCTATACTCTGTCACATCAAGGTTGCTGTGCAATTTATGGGTATCTAACAATGATCTGACTCCAGGCCCTTCTGTCAGCTATGCCCCCCAACTTGTTATATAAAGCAAGTCTCCCAGAGCATCCTGCCTCATGTTATTGCTATTATAATGTAACCTGGAATTGACTTTAACCTTATGAATGAACAACAGCTATGAGCCTTGCCCTATCCTGAGTCAACCTCACTGTCTCTGAGAGAACACACAAAAGGATTCAAGGATTTGTGAACATCCGCCATTGGGATCAACCCAAAATCAGTGTTCAAGCAACAGTAACCTTCATCCCCTAAACGGTCTCGTTGTCTAACTTCAAAACAAAACAGAAAAACCATTACCCTCAAACTGGAAGGAGGCACAAATCCAGCGAGTGTTCTGAGGCTGTAAACAGCACAGGAAGTGCTCAATTTTCTACAGGATGGGGTGGGGAGATGGGAGGGGAGGGCAGCTGGTGGATTGGAACCAGGTGTCTCTGGATTGCCAAAAAAGCGCAGCTTTTCCCCCATAGGCCGCCTGACTACTGAGTTTAAATTTATGCGTTGAAGGTGCTGTTCTGTGGTTTGGTATAAAGCCTAAGTCACTTTGCCAGTATTGACAGTCTAATAGATTCACACACAGGACTTTAAAATAAGCATCTATATATACACGTACATAAATATATAGCAAGCATTTGTATAGTATATAAATACATGTAGTAAGCATATAGTAAAGTAAGAAAAGAGCTTAGTTGCATTTCTAGACGACTGGCCCTAGTAAAATCCAGAGGCTTGGGAATGCTAAAAGCTGTTTTGCAAAGTGTGGCTTCTCTACTAAAATGCACCTGAAGAGCTTCCTCTGTTTGGTTGAGCGCATGCTGCCAGCTTTCCTGGGAGTTGTATAAGATGGTGTGAGCCTGTGGTGAAAACCATGGCCCTGAGCTAAAAAAGAAATTAAAAGGTTAAAAAATAACCTCTATCCATCCTTAGAATTACACTTTGCAGCGACGTCTAGTTTCCTTTCCTAGTAGATATAATCCTAATTAAAAATAAATTACATGCTGTATAGAACTTGAAATGGAAAAGATAATCCTATTACATATGAGAATATATCCTGATTTTCTTTCCCGCTAAACTGTGGGAGATAGGCGATCAGGCTGAGCCCCCCATTGTCGCCGCTTTGAAAACTTTCCCGCAGCCCTAATCCGTCACGTGACGCCCTTATCAATCCCGGGGTCTGCACGCGAGTTTCACAAAGCGGGCTTTAGGCTCGGCCGCGGCGACGCAGCTTTGCTGAGCGCGCATCATTTGCATTCCGAGAAAATGCCTGCCATTGTGGGGCCTTGTTTGTTCTCAGGATTGCGAGACAGTTGCCGACCAAATTGCAAAAGCCCAGAGAAAGGGGCTCCTTTGAGCCGGCCCAGGCCTTTTGGTATGATAACAAGGCGACTGGAGCGGCTTTTGTGAGACTAGATGACCGCCTGGGCGGCAGAGTCGCCCTCTTTTCCTTTTCTCCGCCCCCTCCCGTTCCTGGACATTTTTCCTCCCCAGGGAGTTTGCCGTGCCCGCTGATGCTCTATTTTTAAATGTATTTCCATAATCTAGCGGATGGGGCGGGGGGGCTCCGGGTTCACTCTGCTCGCGTGCCTTCACACCTCCGCGCGCAGGCCGCCCAGCTGCCCGCCCCGGGCTGGGGCTCCGCGCTCCGCCGGTGCAGAGCGGCCCAGGACCCTGCAGCGCGTAATATGCAGCGCCCACTGCCTTCCACACCCTGCCCCAGGCTTTCGGCTCTCGCCGCTCGTCCCCTTCGCCCCCTCCAAGCACGCCTTCGCTTAGTTCAGCCTAGAGCACGAGCATGATAATACCGCTCAAAGCGGAAGGCCTTTTGTGTAACAATAGCAGGTAGCTCTGGCCGAGTAAAACTCAAACTTAAAACAGCGGGAGCTGAAATCCTGCGGGCCAGCCCAGAACAAAGAGCGCGCGCGCGTAAAAAAAAAAAAAAAAAAAAAAAAACGCAAAGCAGGACCTCCCCGGAACTCTTTGTGCGGTTGTCTGCAGATGTTTAATCAAGGGAACAACTAAAGTCACCTTTTCGCTGCAATTCCGGCGCAAACACCCAGAGCAGACGCCGGCCCCGCCGACAGGCCCGGCCGCTGCTCGGCTCTGCAGCGCCGCGCAGCGCCCGCCTGACCTCGCCGGGTTACGCGGGCGGAAGCGCGGAGGCCGCTGTCCGCCCACAGAGTTCTGAACCTGGTTGGGTCTGGGCGGACAGGGAAAGGCGGGGTGAAAAGAGAAAGCAGGACTTTGGGAGTCCGGAAGGTCACCAGAGGCCGGGTAGGGGCGGGATGGGGGGAAGGGTCAAGGCTGGGAAGGAAAGGAGGAGAATTTAGGGGTTGCGCAGGTCTCCAAGGAAATTTTGGGTGGTGGCAGGGAGAGACAAAAACATTTGGAGGGTAAGGCGTTTGGAAAGGGGAAAAAAGTTTAAGAAAAGGCTGAAAATGTAGCTTCTTGAAGAAGCCAGGAGGAGGGGAGTTACCTTCTTCACATCCTTTCGCTGCTTCACCTGCTGTCTGTCTCCTCCTGAGGTCTGTAGAGAAGAGGTGGGGAAGGGAACCATGAGATACCATCGCTCCCAGAGCATCCAGCTATCTATCATCCCTTCCTAATCTCTCAAGAGGTTTTACTTATTGATATCTGTGGCAGTGTTCTCTGTTGTTGGATAAATCCGAAGACATCTCTCATCCTCCTAGACCCACTGGGGGTACTTCGATTCCTCCGGAGTAAACCTCAGAACACTTTCGAGTCTCAGATTTCAGGGAACACAGATAGGACACTGGAGGCAGAACTAAACTCGTTTGATGAAATACAATCTGCTTATTACCTTTCATTCTTTTTCCATTTCTTTGAGTATGTGGCTTCCCTGTGTGTTTGCACAGCCTACTCAAGTAAGAAACAGGAAGAATCCAACTTGCTCTAGATTGGAGCCCTCTCTCCAGCCTTCAGGTTGAAGGGGGCAGCGCAGTGATAGGTCAGCCTTGGTACCAGCCCAGCCCAGGTACCAGCCCAGAGCGTGGCACCGCTTGCCCTGGAGTCCCACACTTCGGTAGGCAGATGGTTCCGTTTCCCCAGGTTCGTGCCAGGGTTCAACCTCATGCTGTGATTTTGTTCTCCTGGAACGGGACGAGTGTTGTTTCCCAGAGCGGGTCCCATTTGAACAGAAAGAAAATCCTCTAAATAGGCGGAACAGGGCATCAGGAGAGAAAGTTCTCTAAATGCACTTTAATACGAGTCGGGTATTGTGTGGAATTCAGCGCCCATCATCGTTTAACCGGAGAGTTATGGCAGTGATTGGGGATGAATAGAAGAACATAATGGATACATGTGGCGTTTGCTCATTATATTCAAGTTAGTCCAACTCCGCTGTGGAAACTGTTCAACTTTCTCTCCCCTTAGCTTGTCACAGTGAAATAATACAGACATTGGGGCCTCCAATAGGATCGCCTGCCACGCCATTCTATTTCCACTGCTAACGAGGGCTTCATAAGCCTTTGATACAGTCTGATCTTTGAAACCTTTCCAAATCTCCTCAAGCTTATGCTAAATCCTATTTGGAACTTCCACACACCCCCTTCCCTTCCCTGCTAGCGCCCAGAGCTTAAGAAAGCCATTTGGACAGTGACATGCATACTAACACATCGCAGCGCTCTCTTCTGAAAGGGAAATGGGAGCTCTGATCACCGAGGCTCACACGAGCAAAACACAATCGCATACACAAATTTGAATAAAATCAATTTCCCCTTATCCTTCAGGGTCCTTAATCAAGAGGCTATTCCGGGCTCTGTGGGAAGCGGGGGGAGAAGGAAGCAGAGCCTCGCTGGCAGAATAGGCGTCTGTGGCGAGGGGGCCAGCCAGCGTCTGGAATCGCTGGAGGTGCAAAATGCAGAGAGCGGCCGGGGAACTTGGGCCACAGCGGCGAAAGCCCAGGATTTTAGCTCTCTGTCCAAACAGGCGGCGCGGGAGGGGTACAATTAACACAACCCTCCGTCCCATTTACTCCCGGCGCCTGGTGCCAACTCCTCTACATTTAAGGCGCTGGCAGGAAAGAAGGGGAATGCAAAAGGAGTTAAGGAAACAAAGGAAAGATTTCCTAATTTTCATCTCTTGTTTTCGCCTCTAAGCCTTTCCACATTAAAGGGATTGTTGGAGGCTGGCGGAGGAGCGGCGCGAGGGCGAGGCCTCCATTGGCTGCCCGGCTCGAGCGATTTGCATATCGGCGGCTATAAAAGGCAGAGGCGGCGCGAGGCGGCGCAGCTTCTGCGGGGACAAGGGGCGGGAGAGGTGCTGAGTGAAGGCGGGTCCGCGCGTCCTCAGAGCCCGCCAGAGCCGCGGAGCAGCCACCAGCCGACTTCTCCCTCACTGGGTTCGCGGAGTGCGTGCTCAGGGCACCTAAGACTCACGCCCGGACCAGCAAACCAAAGGACTTTCTTGCTCAGCCGTTTGGAATAACAGTTGGACCGGTGACATGAGTCCTAGGAAGCGCGGAGGCAGCCCCTGCCTTTTTCCCTTGCAGCTATTCTGTCTTTGCTGGGTGCTGTCAGTGGCCCAGAGCAAGACAGTGAGATACAGCACCTTCGAGGAAGACGCCCCCGGTACGGTCATAGGGACCCTGGCGGAAGACCTGCATATGAAAGTGTCCGGCGACACAAGCTTCCGCCTGATGAAGCAGTTCAACAGCTCGCTGATCCGGGTACGCGAGGGTGACGGGCAGCTGACCGTCGGGGACGCGGGCCTGGACCGGGAGCGGCTGTGCGGCCGGTCCCCACAGTGCGTGCTGGCCTTCGACGTGGTCAGCTTCTCACAGGAGCAGTTCCGGCTGGTGCATGTGGAGGTGGAGGTGAGGGATGTCAATGACCACACGCAGTGCTTTCCCCGGGCCCAGATCTCAGTGGAGGTGTCCTAGGGAGCGGCCGTGGGCTCGCGCTCCAATGGGCTGCAGAGCGTGTGCCTGGCCGAGCCGCACATCCCGTTCCGCGTTGAGCTGTAGACACGCGCGAATGGCGCCCAGTGCGCTGACCTGGTGCTGCTGCAGGAGCTGGACCGCGAGAGCCAGGCCACCTACAGCCTGGAGCTGGTGGCCCAGGACGGTGGCCGCCCGCTGTGTTCGGCCACAGCTGCCCTCAGCGTGCGAGTGCTGGACGCCAACGACCACAGCCCTGCCTTCCCCCAGGGCGCCGTGGCCGAGGTGGAGCTGGCTGAGGACGCGCCCGTGGGCTCGCTGCTGCTCGACCTGGACGCGGCCGACCCCGACGAGGGCCCCAATGGCGACGTGGTGTTCTCCTTTGGCACCCGCACTCCTCCCGAAGCGCGCCGCCTCTTCCGGCTTGACCCGCGCTCCGGCCGCCTCACCCTAGCCGGGCCAGTGGACTATGAGCGCCAGGACACCTACGAGCTGGACGTGAGGGCGCAGGACCGCGGCCCAGGGCCCCGCACCGCCACCTGCAAGGTCATCGTGCGCATCCGCGACGTCAACGACAATGCGCCCGACATTGCCATCACCCCACTGGCTGCTCCGGGCGACCCCGCCACCTCGCCCTTCTCCGCGGCCGCGGCCGCCGCCGCTCTCGGGGGCACGGACGCGACTTCTTCGAGTGGTTCTGGGGCGCCAGAGACCAGCGCCACCTCACTGGTGCCCGAGGGGGCGGCGCGAGAGAGCCTAGTGGCCCTGGTCAGCACCTCGGACAGGGACTCGGGCGCCAACGGACAGGTGCGCTGCGCCCTCTATGGGCACGAGCACTTTCGGCTGCAGCCGGCCTACGCTGGCAGCTATCTGGTGGTGACAGCAGCGTCGCTGGACCGTGAGCGCATCGCTGAGTATAATCTGACCCTCGTGGCTGAGGACCGCGGCGCACCCCCGCTGCGCACCGTGCGACCCTACACTGTGCGCGTGGGTGACGAGAACGACAATGCGCCGGTCTTCACGCGGCCAGTCTATGAAGTCTCGGTCCGCGAGAATAACCCTCCTGGCGCCTATCTGGCCACGGTGGCTGCTCGGGACGCAGACCTGGGCCGCAATGGCCAGGTCACCTATCGGCTGCTGGAAGCCGAGGTGGGCCGCGGCGGGGGGGCTGTGTCCACCTACGTTTCTGTTGACCCAGCCACTGGGGCCATTTATGCTCTGCGCAGCTTTGACTATGAGGCGCTGCGCCAACTCGACGTGCGCATTCAGGCCAGCGACGGTGGCACCCCTCAGCTCTCCAGCACTGCCCTGGTGCAAGTGCGAGTTCTGGACCAGAACGATCACGCGCCAGTCCTGGTGCACCCGGCGCCAGCCAACGGCTCCCTGGAAGTGGCAGTGCCTGGACGCATGGCAAGGGACTCAGCAGTGGCGCGCATTCAGGCCCGGGACGCGGACGAGGGCGCCAACGGGGAGCTGTCTTTTGATCTGCTGCAGCAGGAGCCACGCGAAGCCTTCGCCATTGGCCGCCGCACGGGGGAGATCGTGCTCACCGGCGACCTCTCCCAGGAGCCGCCCGGCCGCGTGTTCCGGGCGCTGCTGGTGGTTTCCGACGGCGGGCGCCCTCCTCTCTCCACCAGCGCCACGGTCAGCTTCGTAGTAACAGCAGGCGGCGGGCGCGGGTCCGAGAGTCCTGCTAGCGCAGGGGGCACGGAGCGCTCCCGGCCGGCCGGCTCTCGGCTCGGGGCGTCGGGGCCGGCGCTGCAATGGGACACGCCGCTGATCGTCATCATCGTACTGGCGGGGAGCTGCACGCTGCTGCTAGCCGCCATCATCGCCATCGCTACCACCTGCAACCGCCGCAAGAAGGAGGTGCGCAAAGGGGGGGCGCTCCGGGAAGAGCGGCCCGGGGCGGCGGGCGGCGGATCCTCGGCTCCCGGCTCCCCGGAGGAGGCCGCCCGGGGAGCTGGGCCCAGGCCCAACATGTTCGACGTGCTCACCTTCCCTGGCAGCGGCAAAGCGCCCTTTGGCAGCCCCGCGGCCGACGCGCCCCCGCCCGCGGCCGCCGCGGCCGAAGTGCCGGGCTCGGAGGGCGGCAGCGCCACTGGGGAAAGCGCCTGTCACTTCGAGGGGCAGCAGCGGCTCCGCGGCGCGCACGCCGAGGTGAGGCCTTCCTTCGGCTGGGCGCCCCTCTCCCGGCTCCGCGGACAGGCTGGGGGAAGGGACAGGAGGGGTCGGGGTGGCGTCGCGCAGGGGACGCTTAACCTCTGGTACTTTTGTTTGTTTCTTTCTTTTCCGACCTCGGAACGCACCCCATTTGCTGCTTCAGCCCTACGGCGCGTCTCCCGGCTTCGGGAAGGAGTCAGCGCCCCCTGTGGCAGTCTGGAAGGGGCACTCGTTCAACACCATCTCTGGGCGAGAAGCGGAGAAGTTCAGCGGCAAAGATAGCGGCAAAGGGGACAGTGACTTCAATGACAGCGATTCCGACATCAGCGGGGACGCTCTTAAAAAAGATCTCATCAACCACATGCAGAGTGGTGCGTACTCCTCTTCCCCTGCAAGCTTGGCCTTCTTCCCCTCCTGCCCAGCGTCCTCTCTTCTCGGCTCCCAGCCTTCCTCTCTCTCTCTCCCTCTTTTTCTTTTCCTTTCCATCCTCGAGTTTCAAACCCAGACCTGCCTCATACAGTGAGCCTCAAGGTGTCCAGTCCAGCAGTACCACCATTTGGCCACGGCACACTTCCCACCCTGGGAAGCTGAGAACGGGGTGGCGCTAGCCAGCTAAGGAGGGGAATTTGGCTTCTATGGTTTGGGGCGTCTCAGTTTGTTGGTTTGGCTTTTATTCCAGGACAAAATTCAGGATCAGCTTCCTGTTAAGGTGCATTCACCGCTGTACCTTTCTAGTCTTAAATCACTGTATTCATCACCATGCACGCTTTCCTTTTCAGGAAAAGAACCTGACCCTGTGACCTCATAATAACCCTTATCCACTCTCTGCTTCGTTCCTGTTAGGACTGTGGGCGTGCACTGCGGAGTGCAAGATCCTGGGCCACTCTGACCGCTGCTGGAGTCCCTCTTGCGGGGGACCTAATGCAGCTCCCCTACATCACCCACCTGCGCAGATGTCCACCTTCTGTAAGAGCACGTCTCTGCCTCGGGATCCCCTGCGCAGGGACAATTACTACCAGGCCCAGCTGCCTAAGACAGTGGGACTGCAAAGCGTCTATGAAAAAGTGCTGCACAGAGACTATGACAGGACTCTGCTCTCCCCTCCCCGCCCGGGGAGGCTCCCAGACCTGCAGGAGATCAGCGTACCCCTCTACCAGTCCCCCCCTGGAAGGTACCTGTCCCCGAAGAAGGGGGACAATGAAAATGTGTAATCCCACGCTGCATGTCTTCACACATTTACAGGTCACTCCCGAGAAGCCCCTAAGTTAATTGACCCGTTTCAGTGTTGTATATATATATATAAATATGCAAGATGTGCCTTAAAAAGAAGTTGTTGGAAGCTATTTCCAATTACATTGGTACTGTTTGGTATTTGCAAACAAACAAAAAAGATGTAGTTAATGTAATTTTTATGAAATGTGTGCAGTATTTAATTTTTCTTATCATGCTACGGATTTTAATTTCACTTGCAGCTTGCCATTTTCTTAGTGTTTTTAACCTGTACATTGTGTAATGTAATGTTTGTATATAATGAAATTTTGTTATATTTTTATATAATAAAAGCTAAAGTGGAAGTTATTGCCAAAGGAACTGTCTATACGACAAAAAAAATATTGGAATTACTTAATGGAAATTTATCCCTCACCTGAAACAATCTAGTGTTTGAGAAGTTTTGCCTTGCCAAGTATAACTTGTATATCTTGAGTCTGTGGTAGATTTCAAGTTCAATGTTATTTAATTACACTTGGATTTCTGTAAACCGTGTCACTTATAAGCACAGTAATAAAGGATTTGTCATGTGTTTAAATAATCTGCTAATTGCTTTTCATGAAGTTACCTATAATCAGACATATCCACAAATCGTTTGAGTACCAGAATTAAGCATTCTTTCAGTATCTTTTTATTTGAGCTGCTTCAAATAATTCATGTTCTTGGTAATATTAAAGCTGGGAAATTTAAAGAATTGGGAGATTACATCCTGTTATTAAAAATACTTGTTGGTTAAAATGTAAACATGTGCATCTTCAGATATATCAGCCTCTCTATAAAAACTCCTGACTTCTTGGCTATTTACCAAAAGTAGAAGAAAGCTAGTTTTCTGTTGTTCATTCATTAAGTAAACAAGTGCCTGCACATGTTACAAGCAGCCAGTGACTTCTAGGATCTAAAGTCAAGATGAAGAACCTAAAAGCTCCTGTTTGGAATCCAAATAATGCCAAGGATAGCGCAAAATAGCAGGGGCTTTGGTATGAAAAAGGTCCTCAAAGATGGTTGGAATGGCATGATGCTATGGTTCATGTTAAAATATTCTAGGGGTAAAGACTGTAGGAAGAGTTGGAATATGTAACAAGGTTGATAAAAATTACGTGAAGTCTCTCTCAGGGAGGAGTGATAGGGAATGGCAAAGGACACACTGACAAAGAAGATTAATCAGAACTGGCTTTGACAAGCACTGTGGCATTTGGACAAGAACAAACTGGGAGGAGGGTAGAGAGAATAGTGCAACAATGAATGAATGGAAACCCAAAATCTCTGTAAATGTTTATGAAAATTAAAAAAATAGTTATAATTTGTATTGGTGTATGTGGAAAAATGCATTATAGCAATTTCTTCATTTGTGTGTTTGTATTTGAAAATACATGTAACGGGTTACTTTAAAACAATAATAACCCTCGAGGTATAAGGTCACATGTGTTACCATCAAGTGGGAACCAACTCAGCTGAGCTTTGAGCAGATTTCCAGAGACATTAAATCCCAGGAGGGGAGAGTGCCCATCTCTCTCCCTCAGAGCAGCTGGTGGATTCAAACCTCATGCTTCTGAGTTGACATCACAACTCCTTACCATTAAGCCACCAGAGCTACCCTATAAGGTCCCATAGATAGGAGAAAAAAAAATTATAACTTCTTTATAATTCCTATTTATTTAAAGCCAAATAATGTCAGCTGCTTCAGGAAGCCCTATGTATCTTATCTCTATGTGTTTGTTTCATTTGCAAATTGAAACAGTGATGAAGATAATGAAAGGTAACTTGCACTGAGCAAGCTTTTACATGAGTGGACATCATACAAAGCACTCTTCAAAATTTACCTTATTTCATCCTAGAACTAACCTAATGAAATGGGAAGTATCATTATCTCCATATTGCACCAAGAGATTAGGTAAAGTGCCCAAAATTACAGTCAGATGGTTGGCTGGGATGAGATTCAAGCTCAGATTATTTAGGGCAGAAAAATTAAATGACGTGTAGTGGGGGGAAATTGGGCTTTTTTAGCTCAAAAGAGTTTGGTGGAAAAGTCCCAATGCCTTGCCTTTACTGCCTGATTATTGTTTAGTCCTTTATATTTGTGAAGTGCCTGTGTTCCTTATTACTAATTATAGAGTGTGAGGCGCTGTAATGAATAGAGGAGCCCTCCAAGCTGCCTGTTGAAGTCATAATTGAAACCAGTGGTGGCTCCAAGCTGAACAGCAGGGTAGACGCATACAAGTGCTTCACCACCCACCGCCTGTGCAAAGTTCAGCGGTAACTGCGGGCAACCAAGCTGCACATACGCCCGCCAGGCTCAGCCTCTCCAGGCCTGAGGTGTCAAAAGAAACATGTTCATGCAGAGACATGATCAGCCACCAAAGAAGAGGCTCTAGAGTGTTACTGGATGCCCTGAAGTAGATTTCCACTTCATAGCGACCACATGCAATGGAGTTGAGCTGTCCTTTAGGCTTTCCTTGGCTAACTTAAAAAGTGAACAGTTCAAATACATCAGGGCAGTCTCCTCCTCTGAGATTTACAGTCTCCAGAAATTCTCTGGAAAGTTAGCCATGAGCCTACTGCTTTTCGATGACAATGAGTTATGTATAGTTTTGAGGGGTTGTTTTGGGGGATTATTTAGTTATCCATAGTTTTCTAGTAATCTGTATATTGTACAGTAATCTGTATCATATGGCTGTAGATTGTCGGGTCTTGCTCTCACGGAACAGCTTGATGGATTTGAACCATCAATATTTGTTTAGCAGCAACTGAGCGTTTTACCCTTTGCACTATTAGAATTCTTTGGGCCAGTGCATAAATGCAGAGCAGAGGAATGAATAACCCTGCACTGCAGTCTCAAAGCATCCAATCTCTAAATGTGTTGACTTGCCTTTGTCCTTCAAAAGTAAAATGTCACTGTCATTATTTATTTTATACTGTGTAAGCTATTTCATTATTCAAAAAAAATTTGATTTTCAAATCCTCTCTGACTTCACAGTGATATTTATTTTCCTTAGAGAAATGACCATTAAAGGATCTTGGTTTTACTTAGAAATTTTTTTTAATCAAACACACAATTCCATCCTAGAACTTGTTTGTTTAAAGAAAAATGAAAGGAGAACAAGGAGGTTTGGGGTTCTTTTAAATGACAGTAAGAGGAAAGCTCAGAGAAATAGAAGTTTAATGGAAATTATTTTCCTGTTTCCCCCAACATACACTCAATCTCATATAATCGTACATGTTTAAGAAAACATTGAACACATTTCTATCTGCCGTTGTGTTGCTTTCAGGAGGTCTCATGTGTGTCAGAGCAGAACCTCACTCCACAGGACTTTCTCTCAATGGCTGATTTTGGGACTGTAGGTTGCCAGGGCTTTCTTTTGCCATACCTCTAGGTGGGCTTAATCCCCCAACCTTCCAGTTAGCAGTTAAACACACTAGAAATTCACACTACCTAGGGATTCATTTTTGTGCCTCCAATTAAGAAATGGGCAGTTTGATCCCAGCAGCTGCCATGCAGAACGTCAACAGCCAGTCTTCTTCCATGTGAATCACTGCCTCTGAAAAACCCAAGGAATGGCAGCTATGAGTTGCCTCCAACTTGTCAGCAAAGAGATGGAGTTTGGAGTTGGAGGAACTCCTTTTTTAAATGAGATTATATATCTATGCAAAGACTCAACTTATCTAGTAAATAGCAAACACACTCTGTCCTTTCTCTTTGCTTCTCTTTGGAGCCTGTCTCCATCACTAACATCAGGGCAGCGACAACCACTGAGGATGAGGTCATGGACACAAAAGGTCTGGCATTGTTCTGACACTGGTTAGCTTTCTTTTTCTCTTCTACTTTCATCATGTAGACCTGAGCCTTGCAAGTAACCAATACTCCACAAACAAGTTTGGCTAAAGAGAATAGGCAAATTCAATATTCTAAAGAGTAGGCAACCCTCTACAAGCAAGCATGGGTAAAGTGAACATCACAGGTAAACTTGCAAGCATGAGGGGTTTATAGGGCACCACAAATGCTTCTCAAGAAGGTGAAGGCAGCAACTTTGGCACATTGACAGTGAGCATTAGGGGAGGGCCCTCGGGGAAGGGAAGTGTCACCTTGAAAGAGAAATCTACAGCCAGACGTTACCTCTTTCACATTTTTGTCTCTGGCCCCATTGACTTGTTGTCCTGTGCTTCCTATAATAAAATACCCATCAAGGAAACCACTTCAGAAAATTAAAATGTAAGTGGTTTCAACGTCTATTGAAAAATGCATTCTGAAATTGAGCGAAAACAGGATGCATGTCTCCAAATACAAATATATATATGTACATGGAGATAAAAAAAATAAGCACAAATTATAATCAAGATAAGTTCCATGCCATATTTAGCTAAATATCTGGCCTATTCCACTTGGCAAATACAAGCTTTTATCTTATTTTTTTTTTAAAAAATCCATTTTCGAAAACAAGCATATGCACTTTTAAGTGCTGAATTCAGTAACACAAGGATAATTGGGATGCTGTAAGTTTTGAAAGCAAACTGAAGCAAAGTAATACAATACTCAATGGGGTACTGTGCTCTACAACAACTCAGAAGGGCTTTGAAAATGCTGTCTTGGTTTTCAACAGGCAAGCAATAACTCAAAAGAGTATTTATTATTCTCTTTCTTCAGAGAGAGACAATCTGCAGTGGAATTCGCCAACAGGTTCAAAGCCAACTAATAAGGGAACAGCAGGTAGAAAAAGACACCAGGCTGTTTTAAAAGCCGTCACTTAAACCACCATATTAAACGTGCTCTTTTAGCAGGGGGGACAAATCTTCAATCATTATCAGAGGACAGGATTTGCTCCCACCAAACCTGTTTAAGGAATTTTAACATGTCAAACTGAAGCCTGTGTAGTTTAGTAGGCATGAGGAAAATGTCATTTGCCAACCTAGCATGACTCCTTGGATTCACCATTCAATGAAAATCATC